TCTTGCAAGACCAGATAATTAAGGAAGGGGCAGTGACTTCAGGAATGTGCATTAGGGGCATTGATTAACTTAGGTACAGAGTCCGGCTGCTAGTCTCCTACATTTTTTCACAAATGAAGTTAATTACTGGCTAGCAAGAGGGTGCAGTAGAAAGCAGGTTACTGGAACAAATTCAGATTGCCAGCCCAAAAATGTCCTATGCTCCCCAGCAGAGGCCTGGTATACAAAATTTGTGCACTCAGGGGAGTCCCTCAGCCTGGCTTGTGCCCTCCTGCAGCCTGGGAGCCCTCAGGGGATGTCTGACTGCCGGCTGAAGCCAGCTTCCCAAGGAGGCGGGAGAGGCTCTGGCCACTGCTGCCAGCTCAGGGCTTCTGGCTGAGTGGCACTCCCCAGTGGGAGCGCACTCCTGTGTTGAGCGTCTGCCCCCTGGAGGTCAGTGTGCATCATGGAGACTAGCCATTCGGTCAATTTGCATATTAGCCTTTTATTATAAAAATGTTATAATAAATTAGAGGCCTGGTGCATGAAATTTGTGCATTGGGGGGGCACTCAGCCCAGCCTGCACCATCTCTAATCTGGGACCCCCTGGGGGATGTCTGACTGCCGGTTTAGGTCTGATTGGGCCTAAACCGGCAATTGGACATTCCTCTCACAATCCTGAACCGCTGCCTCCTAATTGCTCACCTGCCTGCCTACCTGGTCACCCCTTACTGCCTCTGTCTGCTGGCTTGGTTGTCTCTTACTGCACCCCCCCCCCCCCCCGCCAGCCTGGTCACCCCTAACTGCCCCCCGCCAGTCTGGTTGCCTTTTACTGCCCTCCTGCCAGCCTGGTTGCTCCTCATGGCCCCCCCGGCCAGCCTGGTCGCCCCATGCAGCCTGCTATTCAGTCATTTGGTGGTCCCTCACTAACCTCCCTGCTGGCCTGGCCATAGGCAGTCATCTTGTGAGAGTGTGATGGCCAATTTGCATATTACTTCTTTATTATAAAGGATAAGCCTACCTAATAGGCAACTCAAGAAAGTAGATTCAGAGCAAAAGGATGCAACAATACTTTTCTGAACTCTGATAAAGCTGGGAAGGAAAAGGAACTTTCAGAAGAACAAAAAGAGGGGCCTGGTGTGGAGTGATGTGGGGTAAACTTAGAACTGCCTATTCCAGGCATGGAGGTTTAGCGGCTCCCCTATGAAATTGGGTTTTGCAGGTGCTGGGATGCTTAGGCAGGTTGAAGTAGCCACAGGAAGTTGCCATAGGCTATGGCATTGTCTTAACACGTGCAGTTTCCTTCTTTACCTCTAGGTTTCCCCTAAGTCCTCTGGTCTCCTTAACACTTGGAAACATTCGTTTGCATTTCCTGAGGCCTCAAGGAGAGGGCTAGGGGAGAGCTGAGAGACTTCCCACCCAATGCCTCCCGACCAGACCAAGGTTTTTCAGAGGACGAGGCTGTCTCCAAGCCCAGGCCCAGGTCAGCAAAGACCTCAGATGAACATAAGCTCTGTGAGGACTTTAAAATCCAGTCTGAGAAGAGTGTGTGGCCTTTCTCCTGATGTCTTTCTCAAATGTTACTGCCTCCCCCTCCCCATTTCCATCCTAGGACACACTTGAGTTTAATCTGTCTCTCATGTCTCAGGATCATCATCCAGAACATAAACTACTGAACAGTAACAGCACATTCAATGCTACTGAGAGCAGAGTCAGGCTTCTCCTTTGCTTGGGTGGTGATGATCTTAAATTTGACTGTTCTTATATATAGTTTTTCCATCTCTTCGCTAATCAGCCTCCACTAGACTATGCCAGATGCCAGCACTTGCCTGGAATCTACATTTTTTTTTTCTGGTATGGTTTGGATAAAGATATAACTTGGTCATAACTGCACCTCATATGAGAGCATACAGGTATAAGCAATTATGTGGGTTCCCCTTAAAAAGGGAATGCACTTCAGGGGGCAGGGCACAGAATAGTGCACTGACCACCACCTGGCACTTAATGGGCACACAATAAATACCTATTGAAAGAAAGGGGCAAACTTTCATATGTTCTCAACCCAAACACAATTAGAAAGCCTCAACTATGTTAATTAGTTCAGGCCCACTGAGGAGTAGAAGGAAGTGGGTGCTGCCCTGACTCTAGGGGACCTGACCACTTTTTCACAATTTCCCCTGCTGCCTAACACCTTCTCTTGGTAAATCACGTCTGGGAAAGGGAAGAAATCACTATAGCAGACTGCTAAGAGACTGTGAGAATTAAAATGTCATCTCCCCAGAGCCACATTATAGAGAATGAGTCATGAATTAACAGCCACCCAGCCCTTCCTGGAGTCTTCATAACTGGTTCCACCACTTGCAGCAACCTGAGCCCAAAGCAGGAGAGGGGCCGGGCGCTGGGTCTGCTGCCATCTCCAACAGGCTCTGCACCGGCACAGAGCTGGGGCCTCTGGAAATCCACCTGCCTACAGGTTCACCCCTTTAGGGGAATGAACTCCTGATTTACCAAAAAAAAGCTAGGTTCTAAAGGGTCCAATATACATAAAATAGCCATAATTCACTTAAAAGAAAGGTGCCCTACAAAGAGATCATTGTTTTTTTAAATATATTTTATTGATTTTGTACAGAGAGGAAGGGAGAGAGATAGAGTTAGAAACATCGATGAGAGAGAGAGTCATCGATCAGCAGCTTCTTGCACACCCCCTACTGGGAATATGCCGGCAACCAAGGTACATGCCCTTGACCAGAATCGAACCTGGGACCCTAGTGTCTGCAGGCTGACGCTCTACTCACTGATCTAAACCGGTTAGGGCCTACAGCCCTTATAATAAAACTTGGAGCCAGGTAAGTAAGTGGTACAGGTAATTGGGCCCAGTTCTCAAAAGCCAGACTCATACTTGGGAGTCAGATATGAAGATGTACTGATAGGACTGAGATGTGGAGAACACACAGGGAGGCCACTCAGTGTGGCCACAGGTACTGAATGAACAGACCACCTCAGGGAGTCAGCTAGAAAGACTGGGTTCCAGGATGGGACCCAGTACCCAATGCCCTGCAGGAACTTCTCCCCAAGCCTGGGAGAGGCAGACATAGCGCCAGGAATAGCAGAGGTTATGTGACTGCCTGATGTCAGAGGCAGGAAGTAAACCATAGGGTTCTGGTCACTTATCTAGAAGTCTGCTCTGCCTAAAAGACTGATCCCTTTCATTCCTTATAGCTTATGGCCCACACTGCAACAGCACCATGGAGAAATTCCTAAATGCCTGGTCACTACAGAAACTACGGACTGCTCATAAGCCTCAGTGCAAACAGGGTATCAGCCAACCCCCAGACCAGCACCCTCAGCTCAACACTCCCAAAATGCGGGCCTGCTGGTGGTACCAGGATGATTTTTGGGAGACCTGGACCTCACACCATCTCTCTCAGGTTGCTACCATACCCATCATCAGACTCGGGGTAGTAACCTATGCAGCCTGGACCGACTGGGACCATGTACAGGATCTGGCTCGCTTCTCTCCAAATGTTGCCCCATGCAACCCTTTGGGATCTGGATCCTCATTCCATCTCTGAGGTCACTCTTCAGCTTCTCCCACTCTTCAGCTTCTCTCAGACCCTCACCTCTGGGTTCCTCCTTCCCTTGGCCCTCCCAGCACTCTCTCCTGGGCCTCGATATCTGCCCTGCCCTCCTTCTCAGCCCCACTTCCCCAAATCCGCAATTCACCCGGAGTCCTGTCTACTGCCATTTCCTTCCTCAGATACCCACTTCTCTCAGGCCCCATCTCTACTCTCCCACCCTATATCCGGCTAAGTACCCCTATATCCGGCTCACACTCCAAAATCCTTGCCCACCTTCTTATCACAGGTTAGAGATTCTCACCCCTCAGGTCTATCTATACCCGGGATCTGGCTGTCCCTCACCTGTCCCCACTGCCTGCTGTCACCCTCAACTCCTGGAGACCTGGGCTCCCAGTCTCCGCCCTTTCCCGGAGCGTACAACCCCTTCTCTCTGGGCCCTGGCACTTCCTACATTTCGTTCATTTCTTTTTTCCTTTAATGTACCAGTTTCTTTTTCTTTTTCTTTTTCTTTTAAATATATTTTATTGATTTTCCACAGAGAGGAAGGGAGAGGGATAGAGAGTTAGAAACGTGGATGAGAGAGAATTATTGATCAGCTGCCTCCTGCACACTCCCCACTGGGGATGTGCCCGCAACCAATGTACATGCCCCTGACCGGAATCGAATCTGGGAGCCCTCAGTCTGCAGGCCGACACTCTATCCACTGAGCCAAACCAGTTTCAGCTACCAGTTTCCTTTATAAACAAATTTATATTAATAAAAAGAAGTGAGCCAGCCGAAACCGGTTTGGCTCAGTGGATAGAGCGTCAGTCTGTGGACTGAGGGGTCCCAGGTTTGATTCCGGTCAAGGGCATGTACCTTGGTTGCGGGCACATCCCCGGTGGGGGTGTGCAGGAGGCAGCTAGTGGATGTTTCTCTCTCATCGACGTTTCTAGCTCTCTGTCCCTCTCCCTTCCTCTCTGTAAAAAAATCAATAAAATATATTTTAAAAAGAAGTGAGCCCTACAGACTGATTCATTTGCCTCTCAGCATAACCATTATGGCTTGTCTCAGCTTAGGTTCTTACAAGGGTATTTCTTGGATCACATGATCTCACACATCTAGAGGAAATAATGAACAACATAAACTGATGAACAAAAACAGACCCAGAGAAAGAGAAGCAGTGAACAGACTCTCAAACCTCAGAGGGAAAGTAGGGGAGGGTGGGGGTAAAGGGGAAGAGATCAACCAAAGGACTGGTGTGCATGCATATGGGCCTGGCCAGTGGCCATGGACAACACGGCATATGTAGGGAGGGGTTGGGATGGGATTGAGGGGATGAGGACAATTATGTGATACCATAATCAATAAAATAAATAAGTGAGCCAACTTAAAACAGCAAAAATAGGGATGCACTGAGTATGGAGAATATGTTTAGTACTGCCTCAATTGAAATAGAAACTCTGCTGTGGTAGTTTTAATGCAAATTTTGACACATATTCATCCAACTTTCCAGACCAGTTCAATATCTGTTGGGGTCAGCCAGATTGGGCAGCTTTATCTAGTCAAATCTCCATCTGTGTCACTGTTGGAGTCCCAAGGCTCTCTGAGGCCCCAAAATCTGTCTTTTATTGCCCTAGGTGCTCCTTAAGTGTGGGTCATGGAAAAAGTTCTGAGAGAGGAGTAGAAAATTCAGGTTTGGGCAGGTGCTTTGCATTTACTAGCCACCCTATGCTGGGCAAATCAATTAAACTTCGTCTTCTCACCTATAAACTGGAGCTAATGGTCATTGCCTATCTCACAGGCTTGTTTTGAAGATCACATCAAATGAGATTAATTTGTGTGAAAGCAATTTAGTGTCATATAAATGAGAGTTATTATCTTGAATGCTAATGAAGAGCTTACAAACACAAATGAATCATTCCATTTGACTTAACAGGCAGCCAAGTAACTTCAAAAACCCAGAGCTCCAGCCAGACAACTAACCCAGGAGCGAGTTAACCATCAGAGAGAGAGGGCGAAGTCTTGGAGTGCTGGTCAGGCCCTCGATGAGCAAACGACCATCATCAAGTGAAACCAGGCTCGGTGCCCAACCTCAAGGACCTGGTGCCTGTTCCGGTGAGAGGCTCCTCTCAGAGGCAGTGACCTTGTCAGGTCCACCTCAACTGCAGAAATGGGCCCCGGATGTCCACAGAATTAGGTCTAACCACACTATAACCTAGAGGTCCAAAGACACCACGTTTTTCAGACTCAAAAGAACCCTAAGCAATGCCCCATTCCCTGTCATGCCAAGTTCTCTTACTGCTACTTCCTCATGCTCATGCTGTTCCTTCAAGCCCCTGTCTGTCCTCAAAAACTTAACTCTTCTTACATCTGTAAGATACAAGGTCAGTGGATCACATTCTGGGGTATAACAGAAATACGTGGTTTAAGGAAAGGTATTAGCTAGCATAAAGGTAAAATAGCCTTTTTCTTAAAGCAGTAATAAAATATATCCACTGCCACCCCCCCCCCCCCAATGTCAATATTAAGTTTCCATGGTAGTTTTTCTGGTAAATACACTTAAAATTTGAGTCTTCGAAAAGTTGACCAAAATGCATTTCAACCACCCCCAAATGTCAATATTAAGTTTTCCTGGTAAATACACTTAAAATTTGAGGCTGGCTTCATCAAGTGATACCTGCCAAGATACAGTGAGTCTGAAGCCTTCGAAGGGCTCCAAATGAAAGGCGAGGCCTCTGTGGACAAGAGAGAACTTCACGTGTCAGCGGCAGATGAGTGAAGAGAATATTAAACTGGGGCTCTCACCCCTCAGGTCTCTCTCACTGGGTGCCCTCTGGAAAGTTCCATAACCTCCCTGGACCTCCATCCTCAGGTATAAAATGAGAGTAGAAGATCCCTTTAACCCCGCTGTGGAATATTCTTTTCTCTCCTCAAGGCCTTGCACAATGACACCTCCTGAAGGATATCTTCCCTGATCCTGCTAATCGTATGAGCAGTGTCTCCCTTTCTATTCCTATCTTTTCCTTATATACTTTCATTGAACCTCCTGCATCTACCTCAGAATTCATTGCTTACTATACTGTGAGAGCTGTCAGAAAGAAGTAATGTCTTATTCAACTCTACAAGACCCAAAAGGTACTTGTTCATGGTGACATACTCCATCCATTGTAGATTTGAACTGAACAGTGGACTCTGCTGATTCTCAACTTTGTTCTGATTCCCCATCTCCTTTCTACCCTGACCACTGCCTTAGTCAGGAATCACTGGTGTAGTGTTGGGTGAATCAGCACTGGTCTGTCAGGACTGGAATGAGTGAGAGGAGCAAGCGGTAGAGTACAACCTCAGACCTGAGGTATGGACAGCATGTATTTGACTTTAGCACTCACAGTGTAAGAAAGGTGGAACAACACAGCAAGAGCTAACCTGTCGTAGGCCCTGTGCTAAGTGCTTCCCTGGACCAAACTTCACAACAATGTTGGCAAGGAGGAACTGCCATCATTCCCATTTTGCAGATGGGAAAGCCAAGGCACACAGGTTAAATATTTGCTCAACAGTCTAGTTATGATCAGCAGCATGATTCCTATAATCAAAACCAGTAGTCTTACCATTCACAAAGGAAAAATTACAGCCACCACACACAAGATGACTGTCTGATGTGGGCAGGAATAGAGAAGATAATAGGGGATATGGTGGGTCACAGGGAATAGGCAGAGGGCGTGGAGATATGATAAGGATGAAAGAAGTCCTATGACAGGATCAAGTGGTGACTGTAGTGACTTCAAAAATGTTGGTAACAGGGATTATGGACCCAGACCAAATGCTGATTAAGAATCTGATCATTCAGATAACAAACACAATCTTTGGACAAGGACTTGGGGAGGGTGTGTCTACAGATCAAGTAGGGGAGTTCTTTAAATGAACAGGAATTGCCAAGACAAAGAAGAAGACCTGAACGGATGATAAATGTGTATACAGACCAGGAAAGAGGGAAGCCAAAAGGGGAGACAACAGAGTATTTGATAACTCTCTTTCAGCTAAGGCAGCCATTAACTGGTTTGATGGAAAAGAATTCCACGGTAACTTCATTGAAGTGTTCTTTGCCACCAGAAGACCTGAATTAATGAGAGAAGGTGGGAGTGGGAGTGGAGGTGGGTGGCGATAGAGAGGTCATGGAGGCTTTCAGGGAGAGGTGGGACTGGTTTGCTCTAATCAGTCATGTGGAAATACAAGCTTTGTTTGAAGGAATCCCTGCCATCAGTGCAATGAGCCCAGACAAGAGGATGCTTGTCCTCAGGAGATTTCTGGGGAAGAGGCTATGGTGGAGAGAGGGGCCATAGAGATAGTAGGGGCAGAAGCAGAGATCGAGGCAGCTATGGTGGGGAGAGAAGTGATTATGACGGGGACAGAGAAGATAGCTATAGAGGGGACAGAGGTGGTGGTTATGGAGATCAAGGAAGCGATGGTGGGGACTGAGGAGGCCATGGTGAAGACTGAAGTGGGAGTGGCTATGGTGGAGACAGGAGTAATGGAAGCTATGGAAGAGACCAAGGTGGCTATGGAGGCAAAACGGAGCAAGAAATGACTCCAGAAATGATCAGCACAATTGACCATATTGACTGTTTTGAATGTTCCTCTGTCTCTAACATGATCCATAGTCATTGCCCAAGTTTTGCTTGCCTCTTTCATCCTGGCCTCTCCTTGGGTAGTGAAATGAAGTGGCATTTGAAATTTTCTTTGGGGGGGAGGGTTGTGACAGTTTTTCTTTTAGTAATGTCCATTGAAATTTCCAACTTTTGCCTTCCCAACACTTGAAGCTAAGTGTGTTGTAAAATAGCCTTGACTGGTTTGATTCATTGGATAGAGTGTCGGCCTGCGGACTGGAGGGTCCCGGGTTCGATTCCAGTCAAGAACATGTACCTTGGTTGCAGGCACATCTCCAGTAGGGGGTGTGCAGGAGGCAGCTGATTGATGTTTTTCTCTCATCAATGTTTCTAACTTTCTATCCCTCTCCCTTCCTCTCTGTAAAAAAATCATTAATTAAAAAAATAATAATTTAAAAAAGTGTGTTGTAAAATATTGCCAAAATGGAGCCCTAGACGATTAGGCTCAAAGGACAGTGTTGGCCCGTGGACTGAAGGGTCCCGGGTTCAATTTCAGTCAAAGGCACATGCCCAGGTCGTGGGCTGATTCCCAGCAAATCAATGATTTGGCAGCCAGTCAGTGATTCTCTTTCATCATTGTTGTTTCTCTCTCTCCCTCTTCCTCTCTCTTCTTTGAAATCAATAAAAATATATTGCCAAAATATATTGCCAAAATGTTTTTGTAATACTACAATAAATGCTGCTTGTATTATGGGAGAAATATATATATATATATGTTTTTCTTTTTCTTTTTTTGCTTAAGGTAACAAACTAGGTAAGTCATGGGACCCATATCCAGGCAGTCTGACTCCAAAGTCCTCTTTCTTTCTTTCTTTCTTTCTTTCTTTCTTTCTTTCTTTCTTTCTTTAAAATATATTTTATTGATCTTTTACAGAGAGGAAGGGAGAGGGATAGAGAGTTAGAAACATCGATGAGAGAGAACCATCAATCAGCTGCCTCTTGTACACCCCCCACTGGGGACGTGTCTGGAACCCAGGTACATGCCCTTGACCGGAATCGAACCCGGGACCTTTCAGTCCGCAGACCGACACTCTATCCACTGAGCCAAACCAGTTTCGGCTAAAGTCCACTTTCTTAACTATCACTGGTAGTCAGTATAATGGTATTATAAAGGCACTAGAGGCCCGATGCATGAAATCCGTGCAAGGGTAGGGCTTCGCAGCCCCAGCTGCCTTGGCCCTCACAGCCCTGGCTTCGCCCAGAAGGTCATTCAGAAGGTCGCCCGGACAGTCGTTCAGCTGTTCGGCCATTCGGTCAAATTTGCTTTTATTATTATAGATATTTACAACTGCCAACATTGCTTAGTGCTCTGTATAATGAGTCCCATCCATTCTCAACACACAGTTGATGTACAAAGCAACCATTCTTGGCCTTACTTGTTAAGATTAGTTATAAACACTGTTATTTTCTATACTACTTCTCTAGGAAACAGTCATCTAATTAGAAAACTTCATCTTGTAGAAATCAACATTAACCCCTGCATTTCAAAATGATGAGCCACAGGAGCACAGACAGGGAAAGTGAGAACAGACAAGCTGGGAGTGACCACAGGGGTATTCTCTTCACATTTATATCCCTAGCACCACGTGGGATGGGCACATGGTACCACTTAAAAGTTTGTGGAATCAAATGGTGTTTGTGAGAAATGTTTCTACCTTCATGTAAAATACTCATGGAGAAAGGAAAAGGAAACCAAAAGGTAGCAGGAGAACTAAAGTGCGTGTGTGTGTGTGTGTGTGTGTGTGTGTGTGTGTGAGAGAGAGAGAGAGAGAGAGAGAGAGAGAGAGAGAGAGAGAGAGACTCTGACTTGGGCAGAGCACTGGGCACACAGCATGCTGATTTCAAGAATCAGGGTGGGGACTCCCAGCAGAGAGATGGGCCGTCTAATGCTTAATGGCTGGGAGTGTGCCAGCTTTCCGAAAGACAATTTGAAAGAGCTTTTAGGGGGCTGCGAAGGGAGGGGAGGAGGACAGTGATGGCAACTGCAGCGGAGCAGAGATTGTCAGTAACAAGGATTTTAATTATTTGATTTTAGAAGAAAATATAACTGCAAAATCCTTGATTATGTTTATACAACAAGGGACCAAGATTTATTATAGCTGAAATTTGGTGTTGAATACCTAGCAATAAAGCCTTCAAAATAGCTTCCTTTTGTAGCATTCTCAGTTACAGCTTTGCTGTAAAGACACCGAAATCATATTCACCTCCCCATGAGTGTTCCTTGTTAACGATACCTGCCCATCTACCAGAGTCTCTCCCACAGGCCCCAGGACACACCCAGAGGCGCCTAAACATCAGAGCAGGATCTAATTGGCTTCACAAGCGGCATATACAAAGGGAGACCTTGGCAGGCACCAGGCCCGGCTACGGAGAATTCTGCTTCGTGTGCACAGCAGTTCATGCACTGTGCTTGGGGTGATCCTCACAGCCTGAGGGTTGACCTGACACACAAAAGGGCCAATAACAACCAAGTTTCAATTACAACAAAAGGGCCCATAAAACCTTCACAAGGGACATTCACAGAGCACCCAGCTCAGGTGACCAAGGAGACAACACCTCTGGCTTCCACAGGACACCTACTACAAAAAGCCACCCTACAAATCCGGGGAATCATAGCAGATTTTATTAATACATAGAAAAAAAACAGGCAGCCCAACGAGGAAGACAAAGAAACAGGCCGCAAATGAAAGGAGAAATCTCCAGCAAAAGAGCTAACTGAAAGGAGGCAAATAATCAGATATAGAGTTCCAAAAATGGTTATAAGGATGATCAAGAAACTTAGCAAATACTACAAGGAACTTAGAACTATAACAGAAAAAAAAAAAAGGCCAGACAGAAATGCAACCTCATGGATGGACCTGGAGAGTATTATGTATGCTAACTGAAATAAGCCAGTCAGAGAAAGACAAGTACCATTATGATTTCAGCAGGTAGAATCTAATGAACAAAATAAACTAATAAAGTAGAAACAGACTCATAGAGTCAATACTACACTCACAGCTGTTGGCCGAGAGGTGGATTGGTAGGCTGGGTGAAAAAGGTGAAAAGATTAAGAAAAAAAATAACAACTACAAAACTCGACCAGTCAGTGTGCTCAGTGGCTTAGCATCAACCTATGAACCAGGTCACAGTTTACCAGG